TCTAGTAGGTAATTGGGCATATGGGAGAAAATGAAGATATAGGAGAGTGAGAGAGATGAGCTGATGATACAAAAATCCCATCAGTGGTAAAGTGGGCTAGAACTAGTATACTAGGAGAGAAGGGTTTATCATTTGGAAAGGAGAACAGATCTCTCCTTGGGACTGGTGTGCAAAGGTTGAGTGTTCTAACAGATCTGCCTGGAGCTGAAAAGAAAGGCAGAAAGGGGGTTTCTATGTGCCAGCCAAAGGGGACAAGAGCATTGTCTGAGAGAAGGGAAGTGGGGAGGGCAGCAGGTGGTGAAGCTGTGGATCCTGTGAGATTTGGAGTGAGAAGACTAGGGAGAGAGGGGTGAGTGAGGAAGGGATTGCTGAGCAGGATTAACGGCCTACCCTGAAGATGGGGATCATCTTTGTGTAGTAGCAACTTTCTCTTCCAGGTGTGATTTCCCCCAGCAGTGCTGGGCAGCAGAAGTAGAGTGGGAGGTGGTCAGAGTCCTGATGGCAATACGACTGTGTCGGTAACTAGTCTTCTTTGGGGCACAGTCTATGGGAAAGTGAAACCAGGTCACTAGCTAGGCTGGAGAGGATGGAAATAGCTTTATTGGCTATTGCATCCCAACTATGAGCATAGCCCTTGGCTTACAAATGTGCTTCATAAATGTTGGTTGAATCAGAGTGTTGGAGACAAAGAACCGGTTTTATAGGAATCAGATGTTATGATGGGATCTTTGATAGAGTGGGATTTTTGCATTTGATTTGGTTATGGGGCAATTCTTCAGTACATAGGAATACTGAATGTTAATATTGAAGCCATCAGGAAGATGGCAGGAGACAGAGTGAGCCAAGCGCCCAGGCCTCTGCAGAGTCCCTGTGTGTCACTGATGATGTTGGCGTGAGAAATAGCCGTTATGAGTAGAAGTTGGGAACTTCAGAGTATAGGGGGTTTTGCATGAGGAAGGGGTGTGTAGGACCTAATGATTCTGAAAGAATGCTGACCCTACTGTCTAGGCCCTGAGGGTTGAGGGTTAGGAAAGCCAGGCTGGGGGAGAAGGTGGGGAAGACACTTGTGAAGAGGCTGAGAGTATGGGAGGCTGTTTAGAATAGTGGCGTTCCCAAGATGGGGGACAAAACAGAAGGGCTGCAGTATTGTTCTTGGCAGGGCATAGGAAAGCTTGTATCAGAATCTCTGGGGTTGGGAGTAGGCTGGTGCTTACGGGGACGTGCAGCAGGGCCTAGGGTAGCTACTCTGGAATGACTGCTGATGCCACTGGGGTCTGTGTTTATTAGAGGGGACCTGTGCCAGACTGACAGGTGTGTCATCTTAATTATTTTATTTGATCCTCATAACATGGTTATACTAGCCTCATTTTATAAAAACTGAAACTCGGGAAAGTTAGTAATTTACCTAAAGGTCACACAGTCTCATGGTTCTAATCCAGTTCTTGCTGACTGTGCTTAATTTTTTTTTCATGCACTTGCCCTTCATGTATTGCCCTGTTTAGAGGTAGCATGGATATAGGGGTATAGTCAATGCATTCTCTTAATGTTAGTCAATGAGTATTGCTGGGAAAGCCTGCCCATTCTTGGCCCAGACTTGCTGGGCTGCAGCTCTCTCGCACCCCCTGGTGGCAGTGACGGTATTTCGGCATGCTAAGATGAGAGGGAACACTTCTAGCCAAGGTGCCACTAAGTCACTGATGTGCAGCAGTAAGAACATTCCCTTTGTTGTGAACGTGGCACTTACCAAATACAGCCTTCAACAGTTGTTTGTATACCTATCTTAACTGTAAAGCAATACTTTAATATTTGCATACCCCCTACAGCGTTCTGGGACTTTCAAGTAGAGTGTGAAAAGAGAAACCCAGAGCAGGAGTTATAGTCATTGATTGAGCCCTTCTTATCCATGGTTTAAACACCTCCTGACCCAGTTAATACTCAGGTGTCCATCCTTTCTTTTATAATCTGGAAGGTTACTCTTTCC